CTGGGTAAACTTTAAACGTTCATAACTTCTTCAATACTCAACGAAATTGAGTGATTCAAAAATGAAAATCATAATTCTCAACGAAACAAAGAAAATGGTACCTTTATTGACTGCTAATTCACCGTGGTTTGGCCGGAAAACGGCTCAAAATTGGATAACCATTTTCGAGTTAGCCAATTTCAAGCCGTTTTCCAGCCAAACTACGGCAATTTAGCCATCAAGAAGGATACCATTCTCTTTGTCTAGTCGAGAAGTATGATTTTTGTTTTTGAATCACTCGATTTTGTTGATTATTGAAGAAGTTATGAATGTTTAAAGTTTACCCAGTTTCCGGCGAGTTTTCCAGTTTTTTTGCGGACCAGTCACATTTGAGGCTATTTTCTGGCCATCTTCGGCAACCATTGGGCTTCCAAATAAGTATAATCTTGTTTTACACTTTCCCATCTTCATTTTGATATATTATGGGTCGAATTTGGTTAAGAAACGATTGGTTACGAAGCTTTGAAAATTGCCCAAAGAGTTTTTAACGGAAGGACCATTTGTGATGTGTTTGATCAATCTCAATGGCCATTTCTATTGATTTTCAATGTCAGGGACCAAAATGATGTGTTTGATCAATGTCAGGGACCATTTGTGATAAAAACCCTTACATATATTAAAGTGAAACCCACCCTTTATTCACATTCCATATACGTTAGTAAACACAAGCAAAGTTAAAAATTAGAATGATTTGAACACTCATGTTTTTATCAAAATCGGAATGATTCAAACTTATTCATGGTAAGTAAACATGTCATCAAATGTAAGCATGGCCATTATTTTAATCTGGTTCCACACCTAAACCGATAGGCGACCATAGTAACCCTAATAGTTCAGTCTGGTTCAGTTTTTCACTTAAAATGGTGGCAACAACTAAACCAAATCACACCGTTCAAAAGTCAATTTAGTTGGTCAACCCATCAAGTTTGGAAGATGAGAGGTGGCAAAACTTCAGGTTGTGGAGCTAGAATTGTGACTCAGGATGAGCCAACAGTCTCACCCTAAAATGCTTTTCTGATCTAAGAAAAATAAGGATGTGTCGTGGCCTAACTACTGACCACCATCATTTGGGTTTGGTATGATGTCATTCCTGTCTTCCTTTTCCTCAACTCAACCTCCTTGCCCAGACTTAGATTAAAAGTCCCTTTAAGCGGAAGAATGCAGAGATGGGGATGAGAATAGAAACAAAACAAAAAAAAAACCCAAATATAATAGTATTAAAAGACTTCAAGGAATAAAATTTAAAAAATTTAAAAAAAAACAGCCTCTCGCCAACTTACTCCCTCTCTCTTTTTTGATCACTTGAGTCCTTCAAAACTCACATCAACGCTGATTAACTGCATAAGAGCCACTGGCCTTAAATCAAACCCAATGAAGGAATAAGGAAAAAATTTATGGTTGGGGCTCTAATACCCTAAAAAATTTTGGAAATTAGACAAAAAAACTCCATTTTTTCTGTGTCAAGGTAGGCCTGGCCCATTTTGGTCTCTTCATGGCTCAACCATTATGAAACTACATACATACAAGTGGTGGCCAGGATCCAAACATACAAATATCTTCGATATTAGCATATTTGACTGAGACCTTGAGTGGCCTAAAGCAATGAGGTTTTGTCGAGATTAAGGTAGCGAGGCTTCGTCAAGGACGTTGATGTGTAGAAAGGCTTCGCAAAGGGTGTGACAATGAGGTTGCACTGAATTGAGCATCAAACAATGGTGTTAAGGGAAGATAGAGAAAGACATATGAGTAGAAAGATGAGGATGAGAAGAGTGCAACAAGAGAGGAGGTTAAGGAGTGATAAAGAAGAGAAAAGACGAGAAGAGAAAATGGCGATTGATAGTTTTCTAATAGAAGGAGGATGAGGGTTTTGATTTCTTTGGGTTCTCGAAACGATAAGTGTATTCAACCTCCAGTAAGAACCAACTACGTGTAAAAAATAAAGACTATAAAACCCCTCTCGTTCGATTCAGTTCATACATATTTTAAGACAAAAATTGTGGACTGAATTTCTATCTTAGAAGGTGATGTGGAGTATGATTGGAATTGATTTTTAAAAATCCTTCTTAAATTCTAGTTAGAAGCTCATTTAAGAAGCCTATTAGAGATGCTCTTATCACATTAGTTCAATCCATATATAATGTGCATCTACATTAGCAGGAAGGATCCATTATAGGTGTATGCATTTTTGTTTGAATTCTTTGACAACAACAAAATTATATCTCACTAAGTGGATTCGCTGTATAATCCTAGAGCATCACTGCGCTCAGTTTTGCGCCAAATCTTCCGTTAGCTCCTAGTACTTCATGTATTTTCTTAAAATCTTTTTACAAGTCTTCTTAGGTCTTCCTCTACCCCTTTTGCCCTGATCCTCAATCTCATAATCGCATTTTCTAACTGGATTATCTGTAGGTCTTCCTTTCACATGTCCAAACCACCTTAACCGATTTTCTTTCATATTATCTTCAATTGTGACCATCCCTACTTTACCTCGGATATCCTTGTTCTTAATCCTGTCATTTCTCGTGTGCCCACACATCCAATGAAGCATTATCATCTCCACTACACATTTTTTTGCACGTGTTAATGCTTGACCGCCCAACATTCCATTCCAGAAAGCATTGTTGGCCTTATTGTCATCCTATACAATTTTCTTTAAGCTTGACATACGAGGGTCGCACAACACACCTGATGTTCTCTTCCACTGCATACATCCAACTTGTATTTTATGGTTGAGATCATCATCCAATTCTCTGTTCTTTTGCATAATAGATCAAAGATAATGAAATCGTTCACTCTTTGGTACTGCCTGATCTCTAATCCCCACTATATCTCATTTGGATCTCTATTCTCATTGAACTTCACTCCATATACTCTATCGTTGACCTACTCAGGCAAATATCTATAGATTCCAACATTTCCCACTAGAGGTTAAGCTTCCCATGTACTCCCCCTCCCTCTCTCCCTGCCCCCGCGTTTCATCTCTCAGCACTATATCATCTACGAAAAGCATACATCAAGGGATATCATATTGAATATGTCCCATTAACTCATCCATTAGCAATGCAAAATGGTAAGGACTTGAAGCTGAACCATGGTGTAACCCTATGATTATGGGAAAATTTTCATTTTGTCCTTCATGAGTTCTTATTGCAGTCCTTGCTTTATCATAATATCATTTATTGCTTGGATATATGCTACTCATACCCCTTTCTTCTCTAGAATCCTCCAAAGAATTTCTCTTGGGACCCTATCATACGACTTTATTCAAATCTATAAAGACCAAATCCTTTTTCATATCTCTATATCATTCCATTGATCTCCATTAAAGATAGATTGCCTCTATAGTCAAGTGCCCTGGCATGAACCCGAATTGATTGTTTGGGACTCATGTCTCTTGCCTCAGTTTATAGTCACTCTCTCCCAAAGCTTCATTGTATGACTCGTCAACTTAATACCTTTATAGTACATGTAATTTTATATATCACCCTTATTCTTGTAAATAGGCAACATAGTGTTTTTTGCCACTTATATGACATATTTTTCGTTTTCAAAATCTTATTGAAAAAGTTTGTAAGTCATGTTATACATGTCTCTCCCGAGACCTTTCACACTTCAATCGATATACCATTGGGACCCACTGCATTTCTATGCTTCTTCTTTCTTAAAGCTACAACCACTTCCTCTTTTTACACTCTTCCAAGATACTCAACTCACCAAAAGAAGTATTCATTTCATTGAAAAGATTATGAAAATAAGTTCTTTATTTGTTTTTAACTACGTTCTCCGTAGCTAAAACATTTCCATTCTCATTCTTGATGCACCTTACTCGGTTTAAGTCTCTTGTCTTCCTTTCCCTTGCTCTAGCTAGTTTATAGATGTCCAACTCTCATTTTTTTGGTATCTAATCGCTTATACATATCATCTAAAGCCACTAGCTTCATTTCTCTCATAACTTTCTTCGCCTCCTTTTTCGCTATTTTATACCTCACATTTTCATATGTTTTATCCTTGTATAAAGTTTTACAACATTCCTTCTTAGCCTTTACTTTTTCATGTACCTTCTTCTTCCTCCATCAAGATTCCTTTTAATGTAGAGCAAAACCCTTTGACTCTCTTAATACCTCTTTTGCAACTTTTCGGATATAGCTAGCCATGGAATCCCACATTTGGCTAGCATTCCCCTGTATCACACATATTGGGCGAGTATTTTCTCTTTGAAAGTGACTTGTTTTTCTCCCTTTAGACTCCCTCATCCAGTTCTTTAACACTTCAAGGTCTTGTTCTTTATTTTATCTCTTTTGGTTAGTCAGGCTTCTCCGAATTTAACTTTGCAATCCTTACAAGTTATACAATCCCTCTTCCTCATTAAATCTATTTGTGTTTTTTCTGACCCATGCTTGTAGCTGATCACATGCTCCTCACTTCTTAAGGAAGATATTGGCTAGAAAGTATGCCATTGTAAAATCCAAAATGGTTTCCTCTTCTTCGTTTCTCTTCCTACAACCATGGCCACCATGCAAACCTCTATAGTTGCATGTATCCTTGCCCATATGTCCATTTAATTCTCCTCCTATGAGCAACTTCTTCGTCTGAGATACTCCTTGAACCAATTCTCCAAGATTTTCCCAAAATTTCTCCTTCAGATTCCTATCTAACCTAACTTGAGGTGCATACGCACTAATCACAATGGTGAGTTTGTACTATCACAAACTTTAATGCTATAATTCTATCATCAACCCTCTTGACATCTACAACATCTTTTGTCAAAGTATTATCCATGATGATGCCAACACAGTTTCTCAATTTGTTTGTGCTCGAATACCAAAGCTTAAAACCTGAGTTTTCAATCCGAGACCAACCCACTTAGTTCCTTGGAGGCACATAATACTTATCATTTTCCTCAACATAACTTGCACTATTCTACATTCCTAAACGCAATATACTCTCTTGAAGTCTACCTTCATGTCATACCTTCTTTGACATCACTTGTCCAGTAAGGTCAAAATACGTCTCCTGAGTAAAGTTGATGTTAGTAGATACTTCCAAACAACTTTGAGTAGAATCATTCAAAAAGATGTTTCTACCGCACCCTTGCTCGTTAACACTACATCCGGTTTCCGACAAAGATACAGCCCTTGCTTACTTATGAATGTACCCGAGCCACAACTGCGTCACTTCCCGATGACGAGCTAGCTTTAGCGTAGTTTCATTTAAGATTTATTATCATAGGGATGATACTGTTTACTACCTAACACCTTGCCCCTCCTCCTTTATCCGGGCTTGAAACCAGCAACATAAGATAAACTTACACAGGCGGAGTTAACAAATTGCACTTTGAGAGTACTTTTGCTTTGACAAGGAGTAATAAATTGTGTCTTGGTGTACATTGGGTGCCTTGACAAAGAATACTTTGAATAAATCTCAGGCGCTGTGACAAGTATTACCAAATTGTGACATGAGTACTTTGAGTGCTTTAGCGAGGAATAATAAACTAGGTCTCATTTGGTCTTTAAGATTAATTTATAAATCTTCACGGTATATTGAAGGTAAATGTGACCGATTTATTAAAGAATTAGAAAAGGATTGGACATGTGGAATGAACAAGTTTACTCCACTTGCACTTGAGCTTGAAGCCTCTTTTTAATCCTAAAGATTCTAAAAGTAAAGCTTTAGAAACCCTAAATTATTTCAGAATCTCAAGCCACAATTATATTATCAGCGATATGGCGGCCAGACTCAAAGCTCGCCTGTGTAGGAGACAAGAATTTAGTCAGCAGGGGTCTGAGGACTCATAGAACACCTTATTAATCTTAATTCAACTGCCCTTTCAAGCAAGAGTTGTCTTAGATCAATGAATGAGAAGGAAGAGAGTGAATACGACACAAGAAATGAAGCCATCCAGGTTTGTCTATTCTAATCTTGACATTTTGAAGGGCATGCGAATGGATAAGTTCACTTAATGTGTAATATATCTTTTATCTTCAAGTCGAACACAATTTGTTAATTTTTTCCTTCAATATACGTTGAGTATGGCGAGTTTACCATCCCAATCCAATCCTCTAAATCAAACGAAGCCTTATATCCGAAATGTTAGTACAGTATTTTTTTGTTTTCCTTATGGTTTTGTTTTTGTCCTTAAAATCTTCTTAGCCGTAGTGTGCTGTAAACTCCATTGAATTTGTAATTCACGTAATCGATGCATCTTTATTGTCTATATGGATCAAAATGTGGCCTAAAATCTGGAACTCATCATGTAGCCTGGTCAGCATCAAGCTCTCTATAATCTACTCATCCATCAGGCTATTAGATGCACAATTGTTCAGTTAAAGAAAAGAAAAATGACTTCAATTTTTTATTTGGTTGATCCTTTGCATGAACAATTCTCCAAAATAACATTAAAACAGAAGCTAGTCTGTTGGTACATGTGTGTGCTCACATGGACGACTGACACTAGCAACATTGTTACACATGTATTGGTTAATTAATGCCAAAATACGTGATATGTATTAGGTTAATTCATGCCAAAATATGTGACTATCTGGAAGAACACTACATGTAGTTGACACATTAGAAGCAAAACACTTTAACCTGTTTATACTTAACTACTATTTTGTAGAAACAGCAGCACGTAGAGAAGCGAAGTAGTTGAAAACTGATGAGCTCCTATGGAATCAAACTAGAAACTGCAGAATATGAATTCCAACAACAGTGCTAGTGTAAACAATAATTACCAGTTGCCACTAAATCTGGTCCTAGGATTTTATAAATAGCGGAAGTATTCCGTAGATATGTTGTTCAATCCTACAGAAGGTACTTCTCACAAGCAACAACCCTTGCACTGCAACAGTACAAAGTGTGGACATATTCCTGTTCCCAGTGCAGATTTTTAACTTAACTGAAATTGACGAACTATATGCTCTTGTAGAACATAGTTCAGAAACTAAGGAAAGCTCTTGTATATCTGTAAAATATGCAGTTCAATTTAATCTTGTCTGTATGTACGAGTGATTCTTGTTCTTGATATGCAAATGACTGTAACGTGCTAGTATGAAATTATATAGCAGCACACTTACAAGAAATGAGAATGAAGCGTTGTTTAAAATTTGCTAAAACTAGTTCTCGTGTTACATCTTCAGTCGCCATGAAATGACTTGTGTCGTCAACTGTCTCAACTATAGAATTAACTAGATTTAGAGTTTAGAAGGTCTGAAAAACAAGTTAGGAAAAGATACAGAAACTTATCTCTAGTTCCCTGCTTCAACAATGTCTGGTAGCAGATCTGAAAACCACATCTTTATCAGTAACAGCAGCTTACAAGAAAAAAGAAGCTTGCATGGAAGTCTATTAAAAAGTTTATAGTCTAAAATGTTACCATGATATGTCAATTTTCTTTCGTTCCATGTTCATATACAGATTCTTGAAATCATATTCCAAATTCTTTTTGTGCTAAGCTCACAAAAAGCGAAGAGTATATCTGATATAAATGTATCTTCTTACCAGCATGAAATCAGTAATTGAACGATACAACAAAGCTAAAGAGGAGCACCATCAATTTGGGAATCCAGCTTCTGAGATTAAGGTATCCTTCAGTTCCCTATCCTGCAAGCTTTTCCTAGAGAATATACTTCAAAAAATTTAACATGTGAGTTTCTTTTAACATACGGCTCTGAAATAACAAACAGATCATTCATCAAATCGTACAGCAAGATATGTATGCACTCACACATATCTTTTATAATAAATCTATTGACTAAATTTTAAAAATATGTGAGAATAAAGTAGAAATTAAACTCTATAACAGTAAGAAATCTCAAAACTTTACAAAGAAAAGGGTGTTAGGAGAAACTAGAAAGTTAAGACTGCTGTTTGATTCATCATAACAGAACATATGCAGAATGCATCAGATTGTCATTGCTAAGTAATTTAATGAAGTACGGCAGCAACCCCAATGATTTGTAGTACAGCCAAAGGGTACCGGCAATGATGGTTGCTCACTGACGGCTGCTTTTCAGGAAAACTCATTTAAAAATGACTCGCACCTGTAACTTATACTAGACTTTTCTACAATCGAAAAAAACACAAATGAAAGCAAACAACGATACAACTATGCTCCATATACAACCTGAATTCGTGGATGTATGTTTAGAAGATAGAAGTTGGAACAAATACTCTGAAATAAAGTCTTCAAATAATGGTTCAAGTGATCCCATTGGTGGCATTGAATGCACCAATTTAGTAAGTTTCACCATCAACATAATTCTTGTCGAATCTTCATATCAGCTCTCCAACCTAGGGATACAAACATCTGCTAGTAAATTGTATATGCGGTTGAAAGAGATTTGCACCCTCACCCATCCTAAGAAATTATAAACGCTCTAAAAACACATGGTTGGCATAGTATAATTTTTATTTTATGGAAAACAAATATTTTCGCAGCAAAGATAAATAAACTACAAAAAAGAGGACAAGGTATGAATTACACCGATCTAAAGAACAAAATAGAAACCAATGAGAACAAAAGAAGAGAAACGACTAATTCATAAAAGCTTTCCAATCAGAATTAGATAGCATGAGAGGACCAACCCTTACAATCCGAGGAAACTGAAGCCTGCCAAGATGTCCAGAGTCGACTAGTTAAAGTATTGGTAACACCATTCCTTTTATTTGTTAGGACACTACAGAAGGCTTCGTTGCATATTATACCTTGATATATAACAGCATATCATCCAAAATGTCAATCTCCCAGAAGTAAATTTCCAATCAGAAGTCCCGAACACAATAAAAGTGCTGCTACTAAATTAATAACATGGTAAAAAAGATGAGAAAACGGAAATGTAAATTGATTGGGAGCCAGATGAGTATAAACACTGTTTCTGGATCCTTTGAAACAAATACCCAGATTCTACTTCTTTGCTATCACGAGAAATAACATACAGGGAGCGTAACATACAGGGAGCATACAGCTTCAAGCTACTTACTCCTTCCAAATTGTCAATCCAATTTCACCTTCTTCATTTGCATAAGAAGTCGTGATTAAGGGTTGGTCACAGAAGGACAACTGTGATAACAGAGGACTTCCTTGCACAACTAGTTGCCAATTCAATGTGCATGTCTGTTTCGTGAGCCCATAAGTCAAAATCATGGATTTGAAGAACTCCAATGACATGGGTCTTCGTCTATAGATAGAGATCAATCAAGAACAGGAATGTCTTTCTTCACTCTTTTCAAAGAAACATTTGAGGTGGCAGGAAGACTATGAACGAAACAGATTGCCAAAATCAATTCAGAATTCAATGTTGTTTCATCAGCCAAAGCCGTGAGGCTCTTCATTTGCAATTGCAGAGGAAAATGGGCCGTCAAGAAACCAACTGATGCATCATAAGGACGGAGTTCCAACAGCTGCACAGCTTTCGAAATAATTCCATTAAAAGATAGTTCGTTCTTCTTGACAGATCATAGATAGTTCATTCTTCTTGACAGATCATAGCAACAAAGTTGCAATGTGGTGGAAGCTCAGGCATTAATTCCAAATAGAATCTTGGAACCAAGGAGCAAAGACTGAATAGCTAACCTCCCAAGTTTAGTAACAATGGGGCAAGAGGTTATTGCCATGACAAAGCACCAAATATGTCTGCTCCCATATGTGTGAAGTTGCTCAGTAATAAGAAATCCGTTCACGATCTCCAGGGCATCTCTTCTTACTTTGAGGTGTTTCAATTCAAGAATGGAGCTCTGAAAGAGAGTCTGAATGCAATTATTGGTAAGGCTCATCCCAGAGGGAGTAATAACCTCGCTCCCCACAAAAATTTCTCTTTAAATCAGTGCACATAGGGTTAGTGAAATCAATGAAATAAATTAAATCAGTGCACATAGGGTTAGTGAAATCAATGAAATAAATTAAGGCAAAAAACATTAAGGTCGTGCTGGCTCCCTTTTTTTCCTTGATCATATAAATCGAGTTCGACTTCCATACAAAGGCATTATACGTGCATGCATGTGCCAAAATTCTAATCCATCAATAACTCATATTCATGGATTGTTCTTGTCAACAGAAACATCCGTGAAATAAAAACTTTCATTCTACTAATTATAAAAACTAAGTGGTTATTAAAACTCAGTTCAAGAACAAACCAATCATTTCTATGCATAGCACATATGAGAGAAATTTCAATGCAAACTACCCACAAATAAGCCATCCATATAACCAAAATAAGGTTTGTCAGAGTCTACAAATCAGACGCCTTTTTGTCTCATCTAAAAGTACACTGTAACTCAATGAACAATGCAACACATGATGGAACATTGAAATTGAACCTTTTTCGTAAAAAATTGTGCCATAAGCCCAAAACAACTGGAATGAAGAAAATTCTCAGTAAAAAAAAGGTTAGCTGATACTGTACATACTGTCAAATCTGAATATTGAATAACGCTGCAAAACTTGGATAAAAGTTTGATTTTTTTATTTTTATAGATGAAACCCCCTCAAAATGTCTTCAATATGAACTCCAACCTCAAGTTTAAGTCTTGGCTATAGCTTCTCTGCCTTGTATCTACGAATGGGTACAACTCTTAAAACATTACGTTCATGATGTACACTTAAATGTTGAGGGAAGTCTGCATCATAAACATTCATCCACCATGGAAACCTTTCCTTGGGTGGAAAACCATCACCAAGCTCTCTTTTGCAAAATTTTAGTTCATCTTTTCTTTCTACCAATTCCTTGAGCTTGGCATTTGGCTCGTCAGACTGTCTCCTTTACTGAATCGGCCAACTTTCCTCCTTTGCATTAATGTTCCCAACTTGCCAAATTGGCTCCTAGTTTTGTATTAGAATAGGCACCACAATGAGTAAGGCCATCAGTATATGCTAGAACTCTGGAGGTCCGCTCAAACTAATTTTATGTGAAAGGAATTATTGACTTTGGTTCAAACCTATAATACAGTTTATTCTTCCCTTCTACCAAACATTACCACAAAGTATTTCTTCAACTTCTTGGTCATTTTTGCAACCCTAAAGAAACCACAGCCTTACCTTCAGAGGATGACCCTTACCGAATGCAGCACCTTGGCTCTCTCGTCTCTCCACTAACCCACCCAACTCAAAGCATACCCACTAAACACCTAAGACCTCACAAATACTACTCCAATACCCAAGGGCCCAAAAACTTTAAGATTTGAGACTTTGTCCCTGTTCCCGGTTTAGGGTTCAGAGGGAAAGACTATCACCAAAAGAGTCACCTTGGCTCTCTTGTCTATCTAATAACCGACTCAAAGCATACCCACTAAATACCCAAGACCTCACAAATACTCCTCCAGCACCCAAGGGCCAAAATACATACGGTTTGAGACTTTTCAGTCCCTGTTCTCAGTTTAGGGTTCAGAGGGAAAGACCATCACCAAATAAGCCACCTTGAGAGACTCCACTAGCCGACTCAAAGCATAGACCTCACAAATACTCCACGAACACCCAAGGGCCAAAAAATTTATAGGTTTCATAGTTTCCATCACTGTTCTCGGTTTAAAGTTCAAAGGGAAAGATCCTCACCAAACAAACCCTCATGTCTGTCCACTAACCGACTCAAAGCATACCCACTAAATACCTTAGACCTCATCAATATTACTCCAACACCCAAGGGAAAAAATATTTAAGGTGTGAAAGTCCACATGCCTTCATTTCTCAATATCATTGTCCAGCGCCACATAATACATGTAAACATTACAATGGGTATTTATCTCTATTTCATGCAAAGAGTGAAAAGAGAAGGGGGAAAAAGAAGATATAACTGACTTAGAAAAGAAAATAAAAGAAAAATGTTATGAGTCAATGGCTGGACACAATTATCCATCCAATAGTCTCGAACAAGAAAAATGATAGTGCAAATCTGAAATGGTTACTTCACCTAACTGCACAATTTAAGGTCCATATAGGAGTTACATTTTAAGTAGCTTTAGCTATTTGTTGCATTCAAAAGATGTTATGAGTAAGGAGATTATCATAGGTTAATATAAGCTTCATACTTTTCCTTGCACGTTTAAATGTTATACAAATGAGAGTATTGCTCTCACATATAGTGCTTTAATTGTATTGAAATTTCCAGTTTCGACTTTAAATTTGTTCATTCTATAGTTATGTCTAAAGATGGTACATTTTTACTTCCTAGTTATGGCAAAGGGAAGCAGCAATGTTGAGGCAACAACTTCAAAACTTGCAAGAAAACCATAGGTATAATGATTCTCCTTTCTATCATGAATACTTTGTAGAATATCATAACCAAGAAACACTATCATTAGCAAAAGACGATAAGAAATAAAAAATTATAATTTCACAATACAATTTGGGTATTTCGTGTCATTTAGACTAGACTACAAGGCCTTGCCCCTTACACACGAGAAGTTAACGCGAAGTGTCTAAACACCATTTTCACCAAAAAAATACATTTTACTAAAGTTGTATAAAAAGAGAATTTGATACTTTTAAAGGCAGCACAATTGGCACTCGTGCACTCCAACTTTGTGTGTACAGGAAACACAAAAATTTACAAATGTCCATTTTGAGGTTTAAAGTGCACAGTAGCATTATCCATTCATAAAGGTGAACTATCTTACTACGTCTATCACCAATTGTATATGTAAAATTAAGACATTAATGTTCACAGAGGCTTCAGAAGGTGCTATACCAGGAATTTACTTGCTGTTTGAATAATTCAAAGAGCCTGAGTGCACTTTAATCAAAATCATAAGGCAAAATTTTCCTACATAAAGATTTCTTTGTTTTGCATCTTTTGGGCGAAGCTTGAACTTTAGCTTCACCAGAAACTCTTTTAAATTTCAACTAAAATTCAACAGAAGGAAAACAGATTAGCAGATAATGCACTTCTATAGTGCAAAAGTGTGGTTTAGTGGTCTGAAGAGCTACACCAAACGGAGACTCAGGGTAGCTAGGTCAAATTGGAAATGAAGAACATGAATGTAAGAGAAACAAACTGAACTCAATGGAAGCCCTACTGAAGGTTTCAAATTCTTCGACAATATGAGTACAGCCTGATTTTCTTATAAGACTGTAGCGGTGCCTTACTGACTTTATTTTAAACAGTCTTCATTTCTTATAAACAGCAGCTAGGGTTTGTACTCTTGCCTAAGTGATCTTAGGTTCAATTTGTAGTTTTGGATTCTTTTGCTATTGAAGTCTTATTTAAGAAAACATGCAGAAAGTAAAAGTGCTAGGGTGAAGGCTTGAACCTACTCCCCACAGGAAAACAAGAAAATCTCTAAACGCCGGTGCTTTGTCCATAATTTGTTATTCTACTGTAAGCTATGATAAATATTATACAAGTATATGAGAAAAATAAAATCATGGGCTGTCCAAGACCAGGGCCTGTGCAGTGGCACTGCTTAGATACCCTCAGGCCAGGCCCTGCATATGGTTTGTAGAACAAACAATTATAGAAGCTATTTTGTTACTTAAGGGGACTAGTGAAAGAGCTCAAAGAGAAAAAGAATGATCTTATGTCGTTATAGATATAGAATATATAGAATATATAACAAGACTTGTAAAGGAGAAAATTATTGGTCCAGTTCTTAATTTATAATGATCTTTATAATTATAATGATCTTTATAAGGGTTTGGATCTAGCTCTCAACCTTTCCTGCAGTGGTTAATAAAAAATTTTACAGGAACTTTTCACATGGTGTACTTTGATATGCACACTTCTCATGCTAATTAAATTAAAACATGAAACGGCAATGGGTGAACAAGTTGATTGCTAGCTAAAACAAACAACTATGGAAGCTACTTTTTAAAACTATGTCTAGTTGTTTATATAGGGTGCAGAATGATAAAAGAATATAATAAGATTATAAAACAAAAATTTATAATAACTATCTGTGTTTATTTTGATTGTTGAAGTTTTTTTTCCGTTTTTCTTTAGCCAATTGTTGTTAAGTTTATGATATTGAAGGACATCTTATGCTGCATGCTTGATTATGCTAAATCGAAAACTGTCGGCGAAATAAATTTTTGCCTTCCCAAATTATTTTTGTATGACATATATTTCTGCTATTCCAATTGTATCACAACTAAGTGCTTTCCTTGAAATACAAAATCATTTCATGCATAAAGCCAGAGATATTGCACATAATGTCAAAAATAAATTAAAAGATCCTAAAAATGTTCATAACGCTAATTCCAACTTAATAAAGCACTCTGGTGGAGTCTTTTCTTATCGGTGAATGCACTGCATTGAACCAATTGGCATGTTGCATGATGTTATACCAGATGTTATACAATCAGAGCGTGACAACTCTTCATAACAAGTTATTGAATTTTCCCTAAGGAGTGACATTGTTTATACTCGTACAAGATAGAGGACAACACAGGTGGAGGACAATACAGTGCTTAAACAATGGGATTAGGTATAGGTGAAAATGAAGACATAATCTAGGATAAAGATGTTTGGCATCAAACAGAATTGCTATGCATCTCATAAATCCGCCTGACCACTGGGTTTAAGATGTCCAAAGTCCGTTTTAGGGCCTAAATAATGCTTCTCTCTCAATGACTACAGGCAAATGATGGGAGAAGAGCTTTCTGGTCTGAGTGTGAAAGATTTACAGAATCTGGAGAACCAATTGGAAACAAGTCTTCGGGCTGTCCGAATGAAAAAGGTACGAACAGTCGCTCAATTTCTGTAAATCATCTATTTACATAATGTTTCCCATAGGGCTAAATCACAATTTTTACTTTTGTAGGACCAACTTTTAATGGATGAAATAGAAGAACTAAACCGAAAGGTTAAAACCTTGCAAAACTTTGGTACTACTTTTCAGCCTTTTCCTCTTGATTACTTAAGTAGCTAATTTAAAGTCTGTGCAGGGGAACCTCATTCACCAAGAAAATGTCCATCTGTTTAAGAAAGTAAACCTAATTCGTGAAGAAAATGCGGAGTTATCTAAGAAGGTACTGGTTTTGATAACTTAATAAACTTTAACCATCCACGAAAGAGAAATAAAATCTATAATCCAACCTACAACAAATTGCAACATTTTTCACAACGCCTCAACAGAAAAGTTTCACATCCCAGGTTAATGAAACAATGGATGTAAATGAAGCCAACCGAAGTCTCATTCTGACAAATGGTCAAGGTATTGAAGAGGACTCACATGGACCTGTCCGTCTCCAGCTTAGCCAGCCACAGCAGCAAAACTACGAGCCAGTAGCAAGGGCTACAAATCTGGGGTATACCTCCTTCCTAAAACTACAGTGTCTATTATGATAATCACTTTTAAGTTTTCATTTTTTTGATCAAACTATTTCCGTGACGACTACGGCAGACTACAACTACGCTAGCCAAGAAGATGCATCAGACTGGGATGATGTTACTTGATTTCTCAAGAACAAGGCTGTTGGATAAAATTTATGTTATATTACACTAATGTGGTAAAAGACCTGCAAAACAATCAGCAAAAGGACCTTGATTTGAAAACAATGTTTTGATGTGTGTGTGACAATCAAAGAAACCAGCTACATATGTAAAGATGAGATTCATATATAATAAAGAATAATTGACTTGCACTTCAGGTGCACCGTAGCGTTTAGAAATCTCTAAGTCTCTATGCATCTGAGGAACAAACATGCTCTGAAACATATTGCAATGTTTATATGCATGTCGTCAATTTTTGTACAACAAAACATGTGAACAAAAGTACTTGCTTTGACAAAAGATGAAAATATAAAGAGAAAGAAGCAAAACTTTTCAACTTACTGCATTCAGGTTTGGTCCACTGAAGTATTGTATTTCACAAAATGGTGTATGAGGTGTTTACCTTCATGTTCACGCAGTTTGATATTTCACCGACAGCATCTGTAATGATTTGACATCCTGACTGCAATATAATGTTCACCATGGAAGTAATAGGTAGTTAAGCACACTAAGCGAAATCAAGCCATTGATAGTTTTGTTTATGGTAAACCATATATAAATTCAATAAAACAACCAACTATAATAAAATAAATTCAAAATTTAAGTTATCAGCGGGAAAAAAAAAAGAACATGCATGGTCGAATCAAAGTAAAACTCTTTAATGCTGGTTATGAATCTTATGATCAAATGTAGATCTTGGACAAACTTTGGTTGAAACAAACATAAAACATGTGAATACAATGTTTCATTTATCAGATACAAGTGCAATTCAGAGCAATCCACAAAAAATAAGGCTCCGGGACTATTAAACAGTAAATCTTGTATCAAGTTAGCACTAGTAGACTGTACATGCTTAGCTTCAAGTCCCATGCCACTCTATGGTATTAGTTAAACAACATAATTCTAATTAAGATTACCATAATCAGATCCCTTGTTTCCAAGTTCACAGATTGATGCACCAAATACACAAACAACAGAAATGAATAAAGTTCCAAGAGATCTATGGACTGCAATGCATATCCCATATTGGAATTCTAAAAGATGAGAGGTTTCCTTTTCGACAGGGAAGATCACATAATCATGCCACATTGAGATTCTTTTGGAAAACAGGGACAAATAATTATTCATGAGTTTAGATACATCAGCAACTAAGGCCTATGTAATATAGCTTGCGAGGAAAGGGTAAGAAACATGTTCAATTAAAAATCTGGGTCTTCAAATAAAGTTATGAATCACCAAATCTTGTCAGACCAATGGATTAGAAAGAGAAGGGAAAAGTATGATAGCTGTTTGAGCATTTTCAACTCAATCTTAATGGCTAATTGGTTATTTCATAATACAACAAAAGTAAATAAATAACGTATAAAACTGGAGCCAACAATATCTGGCAATATGTTTTATTTACCGTATATTTTAATGGTTATTTCAAGAGAAGCAAAAACGGACATCTAAGAATACAACTAGTATAATTTCATGCTGCTTCCTGAAACAATATAGTACTTTAAAGAACAAAAGACATTCTACGATAGCCGGAAAAAGACAATGCATTCAACAAAATTGAAGCATATGTTGTATTTGGCAAGAGTCAATAAGACTTTGAAAGGTAAGGGTCAGCCCGGTAACATTTTGTAAAATGACTTTTGAAGAACTGTTTGTAAAACGAAAACAACAAATAGAATTTTGCATTTTTACGATTTGAAAATGCATGTAGTAGTACATTTAAAACGGGTATGGTACCAATATCTATAATGTCACCAAAAATATATATATATATATATATATATATATATATATATATATACATACACACACCAATGTATTAAAAGGCGAAAGCGTAGACGAGGCGTTCCATGGATAGCCCTGCCTAGGCGTGAGGCATGAGGCAAAGCCTCATGGTACCTAAAATTTTAATATATATTACATATATAATTATATTTTAAAGATATAACACTTTGTAAAACAAATATAATTATAACTAAATCAAATATAATATCATCTTCTTCATTACTAAGTCTAGTTGTACTTAGAAACTATGTCATAAAGTCTTAAAATGTTGTAATTATTTATTTTATTGTAAGTAATTATAGAGAACTTTAAGAGAAATAAGGGTGAGTGGCCACAATTATAGGGAATTTCAAGGAAAATAAAGGCTAAATGTCACAATTATAGGGAAGTCCAAAAGGAAATAAAGGTTTAGTGGAGAAATTATAGGGAATTTAAATGAAATAAAGGCTGAGTGGAGAAACTATAGGGAATTTAAAAGGTAATAAAGGCTTAGTGGGGCAATTATTATAGAAAATTTAAAGCAAAATAAATGAAGAGTTAGAGTTGGAGTTAGACTTTGCCATTTGGAGAGAGATACTCTCTCTTCTTCGTTTAAACTAGAACAACCTCCTTCATTTTAGAAACAAACATGAATTTTGAAGGGAAAAAACACCCAAGTTGAACGCCTGGGTCCGCCTCAGCCGCCTAGGCGTGGCCCAACGCCGCCCTACGCCCACCCCCACAAAATAGAGGCGAAAATCTAGTCGCCCAGCCTTCAAGGCCGCCTAGGCGCACCCTGAGGCGAGTTTTTTATAACACTAACACACACACACATTCATGTTTGGTTGTAATGGTGGCAATGGTGGTAGAGATGGTGGTTGAGATTAAGAGTGGTGTTGGTAGCAATGGTGCTTGCAGTGGTGGTAGTAGTGAGGGTAATGGGGTGGGTGGTGGTGGCCATGGTGAGGGTAATGATAGTTATGATGTCAATGGTTGTGGGAGGTGGTGGTGGTGGTGGTGTTGAGCATGATGGTGGAGGAGGATATGGTGGTAGCGGCAATGGTGATGGGAGGTTGTGGTGTCAAAGATAATGGTGAGACGATGATGAATGTTGTGGTGGTGGTATGGCGATGGCGATTATAATGGTGGTATACATGATTTTATTTTTTATTTAAAATTCCAACTTTATTTTATAATGTATTTTTCAGGATAATGTTATTCACATGCCCATTTTTACCGTTTACATCCCCTTGTTATTTTTTTGTCATTGATCTTTAATTCATTTGATATGATGGCCAGAAATTGACAGGGGTGTATGAGAAGTAAAAATAAGTGTGGATAGCACCCTATTTTTTATTTATTATGAAAACTGTTTTTTTTTTTTTAACAGAGGAAATATCAATTATAGTTCTACAAACGGTGGAGAATATTGTCGTTTGTGTTTATCATTTTCTGAATTTGTTTTCACAAAACAATCTGCCAAACACATTTTTCTCCCGTTTTTGTATTTGCAAAACGAAAAACTGTTTTGCAAAACGTTAATGAACGAACCCTAAAATCTTCCATAGAATAATTAGTTGTTCCAACTCCTAACCCCTGCAGAAAGAACAAGAATGAAATTGACTTATAGATTTCAAAAATCTTTCAAATTTTCGGAAAGCAAGAAAAAAGTGCAAAACTAGGAACTGCCCACTCAAATTGGCTTTTGGATTTCAAAAATCTGGTCCAAAAAACTTTTCATCGTGTGATCCACTTCTTCGCAGAAAAAACGAAGGCCTAAAGGATAGGAGATTATTATAATCCCTAATCATATATTGGCAATGTGGTGAGTGTTAGGATTTTTGCTCGTCAAAGTTAGTGTTTTATTTTGTTTAGGATTGTATTAGGGAAAGTAAGTTCTTCTCCTGAAAGGATTAGGAAAGAATCAAAGTTTCCTCGTACAATTAGATTAGGAATTTTAGAAGGAAAGTGTACTTTCCCATTCCATATAGAATAGGAAACTTAATCATAAAATAGGCATGTAAACCAAAATAGGGTGTGTAAGGCTAGGAAAGAGGGAGAAAAGCCAGAGATAGCAGAGGGAGATAAAGGGTGATTAATTGTAAGGTTTTGCAAAAGTTCTCTAACTCTGACCTAGGCAAAAATTATGCTGAATCAGTATAAATCTTGTGTGTTTATAGTTATTCTCTAATTTGCTAAGTTTAATCATCTATTGCTGGGTACATAAAAAAAAAAATTATCCAGAGGGAGTCATAATTATATACCAATTGGTGTCGAGAAATTGGTTCTAGGTGTTTTGCGATGTCAAAAGGCAAGGGGACCACGAACCTAAGGCTTGCACTAAAACCTTTTGATGGCAAAGATGACTTCACGGACTGGCAAACGACGATGAATAATGTATTGATACAGTAGGAGTTGGATGATGCATTCATTGGTGAGAAGCCCACGACCATCACAACAAAGGCATGGACCAAGATTCTTAAGAAGGCCAAGAGCTCCATCAAGATCCATCGCATGAGATCAGTCCCAAATCACAGAAAAGATTATTGTTAGGGAAGCATGGGACAAGTTGGAGAACATTTATATGGTCAAAACCATGTCCAACAAACTATTTCTCAAAGATGAGCTATTTAAGCTTTGACCGGAAGAAGGAGGTGATATTAAAGATTACATATGCAGGTTCCAGAATTGCATAGCCAATCTTTAGAAGGTCGAAGAAACTTGCAAAGATGATGATATGACTATTATCTTGTTGAGGTCTCTACCTTCATCTTTCAAGCACTTTCGAACACCTCTAATATTTGGAAAGGAGTCTTGGAAGCTTGAAGACAAGCCCTTCAGTCATCGCTAAATTAGATGATATGTATAACTGAAAGCTCTCAAGACCTTTATGTCAAAGTCAAGGAGAAAGGGCGGGAAAAAATAGAGAGAGCAACAACAGGGGTACGTCAAAATCCAAGAAAAAAAAGGAAAAAAGGAAGGTTGCTATGAATGTGGTTATGCCGATCAATGGAAAAAGAACGGAAAAATTTGGAAAGAGAAGAAAATCAAGATGGAAAGAAGCTCAAGTTCAGCTAGTACAGTTACCAAAGAAGTGAGTGATGGGGAGCGTCTTTCAGTAACATCAGGCTCCAAAGCTTTCACAAGTTGAATTTTGGATATCGGATTCACATTCCATTTGTGTGCAGTAAGAGAATGGCTTGATACCTACAAGGAGGTCAGCGGAGAAGTTTTATTGGGAACGATTCACCATGTCCTATAAAGGGAATCGGCCTGTTAGAATCAGGATGTTTGATGGTGTGTGGGCTTTGGGCAATGTCATATATATCCCTAGACTGAAAAGAAAAAAAAAATGATTTCCTTGAGTACTTTAGACAAGGCAAGTTATGGGTACCATTATGAAGCAAGAAGACTCAAGGTGAGTAAAGGATGTTTTGGCTTTTAATTAATTTTTAAAATTCATAGGGAATCCAATTCTTTATTAACCTCGGCATGGATGACTTCCTACTAAATATTCATATTTTATAACCCTAATTTGAATAGAAAGATTATGGCTCAAATTTGCCAATTGATAGAGAAGCTTGTCTCATCCCAAGCCCAATGTGGATCATTGAGAGTAATGCAAGGTAACTTACATTATAAAATGTTGTACAATCTAATTGGGACAATGATAGCTAGAGGAGCAGTTGTTTCCACAAAGTAGAGTACAGAAGACAAGTTTGAACTCTAACATACAGGCTAGGGCACATAAGTGAGAAGAGGTTGCAAGAATTGCACAAAAAAGTATTGCTAGAAGGCGTGTCACATTGCAAGCTAGACTTTTTTGAAATATGCATTCTTGAAAGGCAAACGAATGTATCATTCCCAACTAGCAATACAAATAATCGAAGCAAGGAGCAACTCAAACTATATTCATTCAGATGTTTGAAGCCATGCACCACCTAAATTCAAAGGTAGAACCAGTATTTTGTTACTTTCATGGATGGTTTTTCTAGAAAGTTTGGGTTTATTTCATGAAGCAAAAATCCGAGGTTTTTGCAAAGTTCAAGGCATGGAAGACAGAAATCGAGAATCAAACTGGAAGAAAGATCAAGTATCTCAGAATTGACAACAGAGGTGAGCATACAAGCAAGGAGTTTTTCGATTACTGTAAGCAGGAAGTCATCACAAGGCACTTCACAGTAAAAAAAAATTCCAACAAAATGGAGTTGTTGAGGGGATGAACAAAACTCTCATGGAAAGACAGAAGCATGCGATTTCATACAGGATTACCTGATCGTTTTTGGGCAAAGTGCAAAAGAGGCGTGGTCTGAGAAGCCAGTTAACAGAGTGCAGAAAAGGTGTGGTCTGAGATTGTTAGGATTTTGGCTCGTCAAAGTTAGTATACTATTTTGTTTACGATTGTATTAGGGAACGTAAGGGTGCATCGGTTCTTCTCTTAAAGGGACTAGGAAAGAATCAAAGTTTCCTTGTACAATTAGATAAGAAATCTTAGAAGTCTAATTGGAATAGGTAAGAAAGTGTACTTTCCTATTCTACATGGAATAGGAAACTTAATCAGAAAATAAGCATGTAAACCATACCCTATACATATAAATAAGAGGCGGCAAGGCTAGGAAAAGGAGAGCAAAGCCAGAGGCAGTCGAAAGGGATAAGGGGCGATTAGTTCTAGGGCTTTGCAAAAGTACTGTAACTCTTTTATTAATCAAATAAGTAGTTTCTCTACTTAGGAAAATCACAACTGAAAGTAGGCAATAGTCCAACCAAACTAGTATAAAATCTTGTGTGTTTCTAGTTCTTCTCTAATTTGCTAAGTTTAGTCTATTGCTGGATACATAGGGCACGATCCAGACAATGAGGAGACTTGGGAAACGTAAATAAGGCATAGAAATTCAAATATCAACTCGAACTACTACAAATCTATACTATTAAGAAAACCCTCCTTGTCAACTTTTTTCTCCTTTTTTCCTATTTTGCCATCACTTTTGATACACATTATTGACAAAAGGAGGGCAAAATAGTAATTTAGTATCTTTTGGCAAAATGACAATCATGTCCCTATTTTTCCTATTTTACCCTTTTTTGAGATAATGACAAACATATTTTTCCAATTTTACCCTCACTTTTGATACACAATATTTGCATAAGAAGGACAAAACAGTGATTAGCAATTATGTAATATTAAAAAAAATATGCACTTATTAAGAGAAATTGTTCACACACACAAACAAAATGTGTGCTCTCTACTAGTTATTCATGGAGGAAAGCTTTTATTGCAATACTCTAAATCCTACAGCAGCCATGCATGCGTTGAGGAGGTCTAAGTTACTCAAGAAAAACAGCTTGAGCAATCACTTTTTTAGAAGGCCTTAGATCGTGGGCCATACAGTTATGAGGAAGTACCTTCTACCAAAGGTGACATAATTAATAAGCAGGTAAGCCATTGCATTAATTTACTATGCTAGGTGGCATAAAAAAAGCAACTAAGAAGCCCATAATAAGGTCCTTCAAAAAGCAAAGCATGCATGTTTATATATAGTCCACTGGAACAAACTCACAACTCAATGGGATAATTTTTTTTTATAGCAATTAGAACTCGACTTGAAGAGTTGAGATAGCTAACAGATGAAAGGACAAAATTACCGGTAACTAGAAGAGGTCACTCTGCTTGCCGAGGGGGAAACACATTATTTTAAGTTCTTTCAAAGATTGTTCTTTTCGGACCTATTCTCTATCTCGTAGTGGAAGTGCTCCCCCCTATTCCCTTACTCTAACAAGTAAGCAAATCAGATAGGTTCGTCCATGTATATTTGTTACGGGTATGCTTCCCATCTCAGTGAGGACAAACAGCCCTAAACTGAGAGGGAAAGACGGCAGGGGGGCAAGGGAATACCTTGAATCCTACATCATGGATGACATGGGAAAGTATATGATACTTAAGCAAGATCCATAAATCCAAATGTCAACTTGTGGTTAACTATTGGAAACGAAAGATCATCAGAGTTGATCTACATAAACATAGGCTAACCTGAACATGAATGCTCAACTAGCAACTTAATAATCCTACTACTGCACAACCCAAGCATTCGATATCACTTCCCAACAAACACTTGAAGGATGAGCCAACAATGTGTACTAAGCAATACTATTAAGTATTTTATAACTTATGAGAATAGTTTGAGTCTATCATGCTCAACTCCAATCAATTTTATACGTTCATCTGCACAAACTACCAGTCTATCATGCTCCTCTACATATGGTGGTGATAACCACCCACCAGACAAAGTCTAATTGAACTTAAGAAAACTTTGTGAATCCACAATTTTTACAATGAAAACACATCAGAGAAAAAAGAGCAAATCAAAACATAATTAAAAAAATTTCAAATCACTGATAATCATCAGTCTTCTCTCATGTGAAACAGTGAAAGTTATCATATATACTCAGTAATTGTTCCCTCGCAAGATCTAAATATTCTATATTTTTATTCTCCAGGACTTTTTACAAATATGAGATTGAGATCAACCACTGCTAAGTAAGGCAAAGTTTCAAATTATTCACAGTATCAACTCACAATATTCAATCACCCTAAAAAACGCCATCATTTTGGGCATTAGCACCATGAACAGCTAACTATAACATCAACATTTTTATCACCACCTTAACTCTTAAGGACACTATCATAACCACTGCAACTACAAGACTAAGTTCCACCAATGAACAAATGTACTACTAAAAATCATCATGCCACCACCTCTTGGTTATACAATCCGCCATGAAACAAGCATTCATCCAACATGCCATAATCAATGCCACAAGCACTACTACTATAACCTGCCAGGCCATACACAGGTACCTATCTAGTTTATCTGATCGTTGAAATAACTATCTGAAAAACGTTATTAAGCAAAAATGAAAACGTAGATGCCTCCTCGAGGCTAAAAAGGGCATATTTTTTATACGTATTCTAATAACTTCCATTAATGGATGCACATTTAGTATGTACATTCATAATGTTCTAAAGTTATCATATGATCAAGAATGCAAGTTCACAACACAATGACAACTGTTAATAACGGATGTACATTACATAATATATTTTAAAGCTATGATTGAACATCGTACATTCCTTATGCAGACCAGAAACTCGATGAACTGCATCAGACAAACACACTTAACAATTGGAAGATAAAACAATAACATAACCGAAAAAATCTTGAATCTTTGTCAAAAAAACAAGCGGGTATACAATTGGTTCGAGGGTTAACCCATAAAGCATCGGTACTAATATACTACAAGCTACTTTGCTACTTGTACAAGATTGCATACACTAACACCTACTTAGCGGCATATCATGAAATAAAGAGGTATTGTGGAGCCGATATGGTCCAATAAATGAATCCTCAAATCAAATTGACAATATCCTCGATTTGTCTACTATTTGTCGTACCCAGTGCACAAGGCTCCCGCTTTACGCAGGGTCTGGGAGAGATGAATCATAGATAACACTAGGACAAGAACTGATGGAACATAGCCAGCCTATTAGTAGTTAGAAACTAAAACCGAAACGTGTAACACATGACATGAATTTAACATAATTACGAGGAAGAGAAATGCTAAGAAGACTCTTCAAAAGTAGGACTTTCCATGAATTTTCTGTCACCTCTTTTTTTTTTTTTTTTGGCACAGTATTTTATAATGCTGTCACGGAATTAACATTACAGTAAGAAGATAGAGAGTTCATGAAAATAATAAAAAAACAGGTGCATCGAACAAGGTAAAATTTAAATTAAAGTTAAAGGTGATCAAGGCAGTGACACCAACCAAGTTAAAAGCAATTTGTGGCGAACAGAGCACAATTTACAGGCAACAGTAAAAAGAAAGAGTAGTAATCTTGTACCTGAATTGCATAGCGAAGGCGTCTGTCTCCAAAACAAAATAAATTTCCTCTACAATAATATTATTTTCTGAAAATTCCAAAGAACAAAAGTATAAGTAGAGATCACAAACAAGTGGCAGTGAACATATATTTTTCTCAAATTTTGCAATATATAATTATATATATAAATAAAAAATAAAAAGAAGCTCAGCTCAATACTGAATTCACAGTAAGATAAAAATTATCTGAAAGTGAAGGATAAGTATGACACTTACGACGTAGGGCTTACGATAAGGACTCTACTATTACGCGATTCTTTCTCAGTTTCATTTAAGCTTGTAATTTTCTGGAATTTTCTAGGCAGCCAAACAGACGGTTCGCGGTCGAAGGCGGACCGATATTCGTCAAGAAACAGCGAAATTACAGGTCGGAAGAGGTGGAGGAAATGGAATAAAGCAGAAGAAGGAGAATGCAGGCAGAGAAACGCGGTGATTAAGGAAGATCGCGAGGTCGGTGGAATCAGGAGAATCGGACGGAGAAAAGGGGACAAACAGAGGAGGAGGAGGAGGAGGAGATCTCTGCTTCAATGGAGGAGACAGTAGTGAGCGGATGCCTAACGAGGAAAAAGAAGGTGCGAGACGAGGGAGTTGAGAGAGATGAAAAATATCTGCGAAGAAGACGAATTAAAAAAGAGAGGGGAAATGATGGTGGGGGAGACTTTGGAGGACAGAGATAGAGAGCTGGTGGGGGCTATGGAGGTCATGATGCCCCCACTCGATCTTACACGTAATCTCCTTTTTTTCCTCTCTTTCATTTGCTGATTCTCTAATAAAATATTATTAGATAAATCTAGGGTTTTGGATTCTCCCAATAGCTTTCACCAGAACACGCAGCTATATTCCATCGGCTCATCATGTGTTGTATTTCTTTTTCTGTTTCTTTTTGTCAGAAGAGGATTAGATGGTGCCATTTAGTATTACTATTTAGAGGTATTCATTTATATTTGTAGATGAAAGGTCTTAGGTTCGATTATCGTCAAATGTGAATTTGAACGGCATTATTATTGCTAGTTCATTGTGAAGTTTAGCCGCATATTCCCTCACCCCTTAGTGTAGATAACATTGTTTGTTAAAAAAAAAAAAAAAAAAAACTAGCTGATGATTTCGTCACAGTAATCCACCTCCTTTTTGGAGGTTGTGAATACTCACAGAGGCATTTCAGCCTCCCCCTAGCCACCATGGAGTTATTCACAAGCGTCAGGAAAAGAACTCAGGACATGTCGTGTTGAATATGAACCTGGAATTCGTTCTCAACCATTGAGCCACTAGTGATGGTTATCAAGTGTAGCATTTGAAGAGCAATTTATATGAAACGGAATTAATAACCGCGTAGTATTTTCATTATGAGAAGAGAAGTGTATTATGGATAAGGACTCTACGGAACGCAAAAGTTAAAAGTATTTTCCGACCACTTGAGCCAGTTGGCAAACCTAACCAATTTTGTGGCACGGAGCTCCAAGGATAAGTCTGCCGGACGTGAACTCTCAGTCACGTGTTGACCATCGACGGGTGAAGAAGTTTATGAAGAGACTTAAAGCCTGTCAGGCTTAGCGCTCAGTGGTCGTAGCCCATTTTTAACAATGAACCACTCAAATCTTTTTGTTTGTAGTCTAGCTCTACATCTCGAGGCCACCAAGGGTTCGTCATGCTGGTTTTTGTTGACCTTCCAATTTTAAGCGTTAACAATTGACCTGTATAAAAACAAGTGGAAGGATTTGGTAAGGCTTTATGAATTGTCTATCTATTCGTTATTGTTAATTGATTAAACATTAATTTTAATTGACGTTTTGCAAAGATGATCTTAACATAATAATTTATAATATGACTGATTATGATCATAAGCTCGAATTCTATTAAAAAATTTCACATTAGGCAAGAAAAAGTGAGTGTGATACCACTTTATTGAACTCATATATGAATCATATTTCTACCGTTGGCTAAAACATTCGAATGTAATACCCATTACGATTTAAGATTCAATGTATTTTTATTATGAATTCAAGATATTATACTCATAAATGTGATACGAATATATTGAACGCACGCTAATACAACATGAATGTTATAAATATCAAACTTAAACGGTTTGATTTTTATATAGATATTACACTAGCACAAGTTAGTGCAGAAGGCTAGCCGACAACATAAAACTTTGAGTAGAAACTCATTGAGCTGCGAACTTTCAAACCGCTCGGTCATCCAATAAAACGAGAGAAGAAAAAGCAGGGAAGTAAGAAACAGCTGGGTCGATGGTGTTGGGATAGCAAATAGCACCTGCCAGATTACCTACAACCAGACCAAACTAAGATTTAAGGACATGCCTGCGTGGGCATATCGCAACCAGACACGTACCCACGCTCTAGAACTCGGATTTAGGAACATGCCTGCGTGGGCATATCGCAAACAGACACGTACCCGCGCTCTAGAACGCTCGATTGGTAAAGTGTTTCACAATCTAATCATGGTTCTGCATTATTATATTCGTGTTTCGAAGCATCCGGAAGCGAAAATTGTAAATAATACGTATCAAAGGTACGAACGAGAGCGGCCCCACCCACTTGTTGTGGACACGTGTCCGTGTACTAGAATTTCGTCCAGTCCTATGTCTGTTATTCTCCTAGTAAAATGTTGTGAAAAAAGACAAAGGTATCTGAGCTTTGCTGTTGGGCTTATCATGTGTTTTTGCTTTTCTTGTTTTTTAGTTGAAATACCAAGTACCTACACGTTGGAAGAAAGCTGACTACATATTCTGAATTTAGTAAGCCTGAATCTTGTTTACACATGAGCAAGACATAATAAAATAAGAGTGATGATACTCATAACTCTTTTTCACAATTTTGCTGTCGGATCAAGAATTGAAAAAGATTCAGATACAAATTAACATGGAATTTGTGAAGGTAGAAATAGGTATGTAGATAGCTTTCTTTTGAAATTAAATTGATATATCGTGGTCTCACTTTTTGGCTCTCATATTAAATGGATTAAAGAAAATAAAATAATATAAATTAATAAGATGTGTGTGGGAGTAAAAATTAAGTATGTAGATAGCGTTGAAAAATATTAGCGTTTATTTAATTATTTGGGATTCGTTTGTGAGTATAAGATTTATTTAGACCTAACCTATCTGAGTTTGGGTTTTTTAGGTTTTTTTTTATTTAAATTTTTTTAATTTTTTATAAATATAGTTTTTAGTTTAGTATGATGAACAAGTTAGTGTTAATGTAGTCCTTTCGAGTTTTGTAGCCGTCCCATATAATTTGTAGTGTTCTCTTTTGTTTGGTTAATTGAGTGATATATTTGTTTTGAACTCTACTTCTTCATTCTTTCATTATGCGTACTCTGATTTTCAACTAATAACATCGCTCTTAACTAAAAATTGTGTAAAGCTTTAAGAACAATCTACATAGTATGAATTTATATTGTAACATTTTGACTTAATAGAAAATCATGTGTACAATTTTCTGTACATAGCTTTGAACTGTGATTCGAAATGTTACAACAAGTTAATCCACTACATAAAGCTTAAGAGTAATAACAAAAGAAAAATCTAAACGGTCTAATTCGAACTTGATTAAGAAAAGGGAAACTTTGGATGCGGTCCCTATCTATAAATATTCTTTGATTGAAATCTTGTTGGTTTTCAATTTTTTATTGAAGCCCCTAAAATTAATGTGATAATTTATTTCTATGTAAGTTATTATATTTTTAAATTAAAAATTAAAATTTTTAGTTGTTTATATAAATGAGATTTTAAATAAAAAACCATAATTTGTGGGATTAAAAATATTAAAATATAAATATACTATTGTGTGTGTGGGTGTGGGTGTGTATAAACATGGGTACATTCATCAAAAAATTAAACCAAAAAAATATATTGTATCAAAAAACAAAAAAAAAATGGGTACATCTTCAAAATCACAAAAAAAAAAAAGATATTAAGCTTAATAACATTAGTAAATTTCTTCGATTAAACTAGACATGGATACATTTTAAAATCAAATAAAAAAGAATGTACCCATATATGTTTAAAAATGGATTAGAAAAAAGTTGAATAGATTTTATATAAAAAAAATGGTACATTTTACATATAACAAATTGGTATATTTAAGAATGAGTACATTTTAAGATTAAAATTTTGAAAAAATTACATGAATGGGTACATTTGGTAAAATAAAAAATGGGTACAAATACAAAAAAAAAAAAAAAACCTTAAAAAATAGGAAACTTTAACGAAAAGCACCTGGTACTGTTCACTTTAACGAAAACCAACACATTTTTACACTAAAAGTCAATCCTAATCCTGTACTATTCACTTACAACCTTTATTTTGTCCTTATCATTAAAACTCAAAGTTTTCAAGCATTTTTTATTAGTTTTCCTTATGAGCACAAAAAGAAATTAATATATGGGTACAAATTAAAACTAAAAAGAAAATTGGTACAAATTAAAAAAGGATTGCAAATTAAAAATAGTACAACAAAACTAAAACTAAAAATATATGATAAAAAATTTAGTCATAAATATAAAAATATACTAATTGTAACATTTAAATTAAATGAATATATTTAGAAATAAAAAATATTTTATTATTGAAATAATTAATGATGTTATTAATACCCAATGACCTTAATCAAAAATTGAAAATGAATAGGATTTGAATCAATGGAGTAGCAAAATGAAAGATAAGAACCTAATTTCTCCTTAAGAAAATAAAGAAATAAGTACATCTTGATATGCATGCTCATGCAAAATGTACTTATCAGTGTTAAATGTTAATGGAAAGGACAAGGATTGGCTGCCCTCTTGTTTTCTATGCCTCCTGTTTTGTGTGGTCACGGTTAAGCTACGTCAACATTTTATATTATTTTTTTATAAAGATAATAAGACATAAATGAATAGTAATATAAAATGTTGATGTGGCAGCCACATAAACAGGAGGGTATGGAAGGACATGGAAAAAGGAAGGGTAAATAATCCTTGTCCTAATGGAAAACCAATTATAAGAAACAATACTGCTTTCTAACTCTAATTTTGAGGACTCCAATTTCGATGCCCGCAACGGAAGATCGATAGCTGGAAATTAACAATGCTTAGTACATGAACTCTTTGCTCATATATTTATGTTACTTGAGATCTTATATCACACCACTTTCAAAACTTACAAATCATTGCTGGCCAGTAAATGGGCTTTCATGAGCCACTAAAATGTCTTTTGTACCATGACAATGCTCCAGTTGGTGCTATTCATCATTGTCTTGGTAAGTTATTGTCTCGCTAACTAGTGTTAATTGAGCTTCTTTGCTCCTTAGTCTATGGGGTATTAATAATCATTTCTAATTATTATTTCCTTTAAAAAATTCGTACAGCGGAAGATCTTGAATTTGAGATTTTCTACACCCACTGTTTCACGTGCTATAATATGGGGACGTTGTTGTTTAGAAACACACAAACAACACATTTGCTTCCACATTCTGTAATACATGAGAAACCTACATGCAATACTAGAGCCCAACTACTCTAGATAGTGAGGCAAATTAATAGTTTTATCGTAATACAATCAAATGACTTGTTTATATTTAGGGATAATAATAATAAATAAAATACACGTTATAACTTAATGAACCACTACATCA